TTGCCTGTTGATCAGAGTTGCAGATTAGTTCGTGATTAAAGGATCTAGACGTTGGATTTAATCTCAACAAGATTTGATATCATGAATCGAGGTATTTATATCTAACCATTTATTTATGCATTATAGATATGTGAAAATCATGAAGTTCTAAGATATGGAATTCATGCAAATTTATGATTAATGGCTTAACACGAATTATTAAAGTTTACAACTCATTCTATGAATTAAGGGAAACAAAGGTTTATGTGGTTCAGTCGAAGGTTTCCCTCCTTGTAGAAAGAGAAACAGAATCATGCACTTGGGCACCATTTTGTTTGTCATCATCATTTCCCTTGCCTTCTTAATCCTTGGCACTGTTTTCTTATGTTGTAAAAAGGTTAGAAAAAATACAAAATTTAAAGAAAGAGCAATCAAGAATGGAAATATGTTCTCAGTGTGGAATTATGATGGACACATTGTGTATGAAGATATAATTAAAGCAACTGACAACTTCAACATTAGGCACTACATAAGGACCAGTGGTTATGGCAGTGTTTACAAGGCACAACTGCCAAGTGGTGAAGTTGTTGCATTCAAGAAACTTAATAGGCTAGAAGCTGAGGAACCAGTTTTCGACAAGAGTTTTAAGAATGAGGTGCAAATGTTAACAGAAATAAGGCATTGGAACATAGTCAAGCTTTACGGATTCTATTTGCACAACCGTTGCATGTTCCTAATTTACGAGTACATGGAAAGAGGCAGCTTATTCTGTGCCCTAAGATATGATGATGAAGCAGTGGAATTGAATTGGAGCAGTAGGGTGAACATTATTAAAGGTATTGCATATGTTTTGTCTTACATACATCATGATTGCAGTCCACCAATTGTTCACCGCGACATATCAATCAGCAACATCCTATTGAACTCAGAATCGGAGGCATTTGTCTCTTATTTTGGCACTGCTAGACGTTTATAGCCGAATTCATCAAACCAAACTGTACTTGCAGGAACTTTTGGATATATCGCCCCAGGTGAGCTATTTTTCATATGCAATTCTTGAACTATTATTCTCTATATGCAATTTCAACTTTCTTTCTTTTTTTTTCTTTTTTTTTTTTTCCAAAAACTACAGGTTTTTAATTAGTAATATTTCTTGAGTAGCTTTTGAGATGCGCATTCTAATTTGGAATCATATTCTAACAATTGATTAGCTATCTTTATTGTTTGCATAGAACTTGCCTACACAATGAAAGTGAATGAAAAGTGTGATGTTTATAGCTTTGGGGTTGTGCTAGAAACACTCATGGGAAGGCATTCGGGAGAACTTCTCCAATCACTTGCATCAACATCTACTCAAAATATAAAACTAAATGACGTGTTAGATGCATGCCTCCCAGCTCCAGAGCGTAGAATGATTGCACGGGATGTTGTTCTGGATGCTACATTGACATTCTCTTGTTTATGTTCTGAACCAAAGTCTCGTCCAACAATGCTACGCGTCTCTCAAGATTTTCTTGCTTGCAAATATTCACTGACTAAACCTCTACAAAAAATTTCACCAAGGCAGTTGATGAATCAAGATATATGTTTGATCAAATAATCTTATAATCTTTGTATTAGTGACTACAAAATACAAAATGATAGGGTTTGTTTCTTGCTTGCTGGATTTCGAATCCTAGGCTAGTTATTTGACTTCGTGCATTTCTATTACAATTGTCTATTAAATCAAGATCTTTATCTGTTTAATTGATCCATTAAATTTGATGCATGTCAATAAAAGTACGAAATGATACATACAAATTATATGTTTTCCAAGCGAAAAATAGATGATAATCTTAATATGGCAGTAATGGTAGTATATATATATATATATATATATATATATATATATATATATTTTGTATATAAGAATCTAATTGTACACGTGTGATAGTTCATACAATACTGTATAACAATATGTTATGTGCATTATGTTTACTTGCTTTTCTTTTTTCCTTTCCGAAACAATAAAACATTAAGAAAAGTTCATTTGCCCATGGTATCTAATGTCTAGACTTAATTCTTCTTGTTGTGCTTCTTGTTTAAAGGGCATAAATTGAAATATAAAATAGAACTTGCAAAACAGTTAGCTTCCTTAAGCTCTCTGTTACTTTATGCTTGCTTACATCATTGGGAGGTATATATATATATATTTTTTCTTTATTATCTATTTCTTCTCTATATTTAGTTTAATGTTTGATTTAATTATCTGTTCTTTAAAAATTATAATGATTTACTCTTTTATTCTAAAGTTTCATTTTTCCTTTTCGTTGTTTATCTCTGTTCTGGTCTTGTTATGACATTCTGTTGATTTGATTAATCATTCATTGTTGAATACGCTTATGGCTGAGATTGCTGTAGTGGATCAGTAAATATATGTTATTTGCTTTATGTTTACTTGTGGATTTTTTTCCCCTTTCCAGTAAAAAAAAAACGTAGTCTAAGAAAAAAAAGGGGGGGAAAAAAAAAACCAAAGTCCAAATTTGATAGACATCCCTAAAAATTCTAGGAACTTCACATCTACGTAGTTCAGTTTTGCTTCTAAACATTGATAGACATCCATAAAAAATTCACTTCCTTAGTGACTTGGTTAAAATTGAAGTTTGTTACAATGATTAGAAGTTGGGAGCATGACTATATCTTGTGACCGTCTGCGGATTGCATACGTAAGCAGAAATTCATAATAGGTTCTGTGCTAGACTTGAGAAAAGGAGGATTTGTTTGCTAACATTAGCGTTCCTATTTTATAACTTTGTGGTTAAGCTTATTATATGTTTTTCGACTTTTTTATTATTCTTATTAAACTTACTGCTAGGTGAATTTTTAGGTTTCTCTGTAAGAACTAGTTGGATTGTATCTGTTTTATACACAGGAGAAGATCGTCCATAAAGGTATGAAGTGATAGATTGCCAATCAGTAATGTTTGACTTAAATGTGTATCACTACATCCTTCGATATTTTATGAAATGTTGTTCTTATCGTTGTTTATTTTGTTTTGGTTGGGCTCTTCTTATAGATGTTCCAATGTCCCCAAAGGGAGCTATCTATGTTGCAATGTTAAAGAGCCGATTTGTAGGCATTATCTTGAGTGCACAACGAGAGACATTACTAGATCATGTATGCACATCAAGTTTTCATATAAAATTCGGTGTGAAAAAAAATGATGCTATCATCTAATGATTAAGAATTTGTATAATAATCAGGTGAGGTGTTTCTCATTAAGCTTTTTGTCTAATCCTTCAGGCCGGTAAAATTGATCGGGTTAAAAATGCAACATGAAAAGGAAATACTGGAAGGTTGCAAAATGAAGGTGATTATAAACTCCTTACTATTCTGCGGACAACCTTAAGTGTTACTAATTTTGTTTTAGATAAATAAGTTTTTGTTTTATCATAATATGTTCATTGATGTCAAAATTATTCTAACGTATATTTGAGCACAATAAATTTATTGCTTACAGATAAGGGCATAATTGAAGCCCGAATCAGAGCTGATAAAGCTGCTTCACAAATGATAGCAGAAGCATGGAAAATGCTGCGGGAGAGAAATATAGAATTTTCCCAACTTTCTCTACAGAAGGTTTGTGTTTGTCTTATTTTTTTCAATTTTTTTCTTCTTATGTACACTTCTGAATTTGTTTATGAGCTGCTTAAAAAGAAATTAACTCATCTCCCTCCTTCCTCATTTTAGATGGCGAAGACCGTCGAGTTTAAGGACAATCTGCAAATTGTCAAATACTTTGAAAATCAAAGTGTATTTGAATCAACTAAACCTTTGGAGGAGTTGGATTTGTTTCTTAAGAATGATGATTTCTACAAGGACGAGGAGGTGATTGATGCAGAAGAGGGAAAGATCCTGACAAAAGTTTCAATCCAAAATAACTCCCAACACCTTTCATTTACTTCAACTTTTTGGAATCAAGCCATTCTTTACTACTGTAAAAGAAAAAATTGCCACAGAGATATTTGATGTATACTGCTGAAGAAAACTGTCAGAGATAGAACGAGGCTAAAACTTGCCTTTATGTACAGAAAGATTGCCTCAAACTGGGATCTAGACTAGATTGCAAGTTATCAGAACTTACACATTCACAACAAACTAAAGTTTTGCAGTTTTGTATAGCACTACGCTAATATATAGTTTGTATTGCCACTGTAATGCAATTTTTTCGGTGTTGCTTTGGCTAGGTGTAGTTATGTTGACTTTTGCTAGGACTTAGCTTTGCCTTTTGCTCAGTTCCTAGTTGTTGATTAGCCGTGTGCATTGTTTGTATAGTTGTACTTCATTTATATATTCAACTATAACATGTTACTTTATGTAATTATAGCTTGAGGTCAATTTCACATTTTTTTTACATTAAAATTATATAAAATTGTTTCTTATTTTTCACATATGTGGTTTTTGGGCCTTCAGAAAAATGAGCACTAAAAATGAAAAAGGAAAACTTAAGTTTTAATGACAGTTATGATATATATGTGTGTGTGTATATACACACACACACTACTAAGGGTGCACTGTGCATACAAGTCCCAGTTTAAAGCCTAGTGTTTGGAATATCACAAAGGTTACTGTTAATTTTATGATGCGGAAATATAAGATGTAAAATATGAAGATGAAATAGTGAAAGATTAAGAACACAATATATACATGGTTCGGCACTAAGACCTACATCCATAGATCAAGAGCCACTGAGGTTACATTTCTATTATTGCTTGTATTTCTTGATATGTTTACATTGTATTAATATACAATATATAAGAAATAAAGTTGAAGATAAAAGGAATAAATCAAGGAGGAAGATGTAAAGTTACCAAATTTTCCTATTTATTGGGACATAGATGAAGTTTCAATAGCTATAGATGGGCAAAAGAGTAACTAACCATAAAGTGTAATTCATTCACATAGTGACAAGTGGCAAGTTATTGATCACAAGGTCAATTGTATACCAAACTATTTCCTCTCTTCTTTCCTTCACCCGACAGAATACTCCTTTGTCTAATCCTTCACTTTCTCACTCTATATCCATCTTTATGCACTAAATGTCTTCCACATTTTAAGCTTGTTTTTAGAGTGATTAAAGTGAGATTTTTATGAAGCAATAGGTGAGGAAGTTGATGAGTTGATGAGAGCTTTTAATTGAGACCAAACTTGCAAGGGGCTAGGAATTTCAAATTTGGGGGCTGTTTTGAAGATCTTGCTTGGTTGAGGTAGGAGTTGTCCTAAATCTCAATTCATTTGTTTTTCTTCCTTAGTTGAACCACTATATGACTAGAATTGGAATTTCCTTGCAAGCATGTTATGTAGTTAAATCTGAAATTTATAGTTTATATATCAATGGTGTGTTGTGGTTTTCTTTCTTTTAAAAACTGAAATTTTTGCCCTCTAAATATTGGTTGTGTTTATGTGCATAGAACGAAAAATTCTAGTAATTACAATGGTTGGGTAGTTGTGCTTATAAACTGAAATTCCTATGATAATTCACCTCAACCATGAAATTGTTTTGTTGTAAGCTTCTCGTTGTTATTGTGTTGTTGTTGTTGCAACTCTGAAATTTTGTAGCTTACATGGGGATGACGTGTTATTTGTTTTAAACATTGAATTAGAGCTCTTCTTATTGTCGGTTGTGTTTATGTGTATAAAATTGAAATTCTAGTAACCATAATGGTTGTATTGTTGTTGATTAGATGTTGAAAATTTGATATTTAGTTTACCTCACTTATGGGTTATTTTGTTCTAAGTTGGGTGTTGTTAATATTGTTTAAAAAAAAAAAAAATTTGATTGGTACATTGTCCTTAAAGCGTGCATGATGGTTTTGATGTTGGGTGTCTTCTATACTGAAAAAAAAATAGTAATTACAACGATGGTGTTATAGTTTTATATGAAATTGAAATTTGTACCTTGTTTCTAAAGCATGAATAAGACTGTTTTGTTGTAAGGATTGTGGTGGTTGTTGTTGCTCGAAAACTGAATTGGGACCTTGACTTTAAAGCATAAATGATGGTGTTGTTGTGGATTCAAAATTGCCATTTTAGTTTGTTATCAAGTAGGACTTATAGAACTGAAATTTGATGTTGGAAATGATATAACATTATAAGATTATGAAGTGTGTCATTCGTGCATTACATGGGGCAGAATAGATTTTTTTTTAAAGGAGAAGATTTTGTTTTTGAAATGAAAGCAAAATCTAAAATTTGGGGAAAATGTTCGATAGAATTTTGGATAATGGGGAGAGACATTGGCACCTCATTAATATTGCATTTCACTGTGTTTACGAGATCTTATTATGTGATGATTATTACTTCCTGAACAAGCATGACCCTTTTTCTTATCGCTATTCTTTCTTTGGATTCACGGAAGCATTAAGGAGTGCGTTATAAGCATCTTCTACTGAGCTGTTGTGCTCACTCCTTACTATTATTTTTCAGAACACAGAAAGGAAGTGGCAAAAGACATTCCCCCGTAGGTTTAGACAGGACTTAACGGACTTTTTTTTTTTTTTTGGTGTTAATTTTCTTTTATATATACAAGTTTTGAAAAACTTTAAACTTATTTTGTATCTCTTTCGTAAGCTTATGTCTTGGGACTGTAGTCGGATGTAATGTTTCATATAAATGAACTTTTGGTTTTTCGTCTATGTGTGTGATCATGATATTACCATTATAGATACATGTGGTGACTGTTGTGGGACAGGGTTAGCCTTTAGTATGGCTCACAAATGAGTTTGGAAATTGCAGGACTTTAGAAATTTAGAATTCGTATTTCAGTTTTTCAGATTTGGTATAATGTGTTCCCTTGTAGTTTAGAATTGGGAATGACTGTAGTGACAATAGATGACCTCGGGTTCGAGTAAGGACCCAGATACGGTTCGGACCCCTGGGTTCGGGTCGTTACAAAAATGGTATCAGAGCATTCTCTTAGAATTTGGGGCGTGACAAAAGAATCAAGAAGTAAATCAAGGAGGAAAGAAAGGAAACCTATATATATAAGGAAAGAAGGGAAACAAAAGGAATAAATTAAGGAGGAAAGAAAGGAAAACAAATATAGTATATATGTCTAATATATATAATATATTATACATATATATAATATATATTTTAATATTCTCCCGCAAACTCAAGATGGGTTTCTCGAAGTCAACTTGAGTTTGGAGATAAAATCTTGAAAACAGTGGTGGAGCGAAAAGCATCCGAAAGGCCAGAACGCCATCAGGAAAATGGCCGAAACAACGTCGAGGAAATGGGTCGGAACAAAACTGAGAAATGGGCCAGAGCAACACTGGGAAACATCTGGGTGATCCATCTAAGAAATGAAAAATATCCGGAACAAAGCCAGTAAAAGGCCAGAACTAAGCCAGGGAATAGTCGGAACAAAGCTGAGAAATGCCGGAACAACATAGGGGAAATGGCTAGAACAACGCCGAGGAATAGTCGGAACAAAGCCGATAAATGCTGGAACAATGCAGGGAAATAGTCGGTCACCGCTTCGGAGCATTGACTACTGTCGATGAAGGAAGAGTGGGTGGGCGTATGTAGCATGAGTGAGATCTACTTGCAGGAGCGTGCGTCGCGTGGGCACGTGAAGCACAAGTTAGATCTACTTTGCAGGAGCGTCGGCGAGTGACGGTACTGGACATCGCTTGGAAGCACGTGGTTGATCAAAAAAAGGAAAACAAAGAGAGATCTGAACCAAAAACGGATCAGATTTTACTGATCTTCTCATTCACTACTCTTTGCAATCAGTAAAGGAAAGGAAAAAAAAAAAAAAAAAAAACAATCTAGGATAGATCATTGCTCTAATACCATGTTAACTTTATAATGCAGAAATATAAGATGTAAAATAGGAAGATGAAATAGAGAAAAATTAAGAACACAATATATACATAGTTCGGCACTAAGCCTACATCCATGAATCAAGAGCCACTGAGGCTACATTTCTCTTATTGCTTGTATTTCTTGATATGTTTACATTGTATTGATACACAATATATAAGAAATAAAGTTGTAGACAAAAGGAATAAATCAAGTAAGAAATAATCAAGAAGTAAATTAAGGAGGAAAGAAAGGAAACCGAATATAATATATATATATATATTATACAATAGTTAGGACTTAAATCCAAATACAAAGCTAGGACTGTCAAATATTCATATTATGACTTAAATGACTCTGTGTGATTCAGAAACCTTTTTAATAGGGAGTGAATGAGAGAAAAGGTATAGGAGCATGATTCAAAAAAAAAAGGAAATTGCCAATTTATTATTAAGCGAGGAGAATATTGGGAAACTTAAAAAAGAAAATTGAGAATTCGTGGTTATTTCTCAAAAATGACAGATTATTAGATTATATGAAGCCATCACAAAGGTTTGGCTAAGAAGAAAGCACCAACAACTTCAGTTTTCAGTTCCCTTTCTCATATATCTTTTTAATTTGATAATATATATATATATATATATATATATATATATATATATATATATATATATATAAAATTTTACAAAGTCTATTCAAATCATTTTTCTCACCAATTTGTGCTTTCATATGCAACTGCAACAGCAACATAACAAAGACCAAGCTTTTAAATCACCCAATATGATATACACTTTACAAAGGTTTGAGACTTTGAGCCCATTCTTGGGAATGGGACACATGTATGGTTTGGTCACATGCATGAAGTTCATTTCAGAAATCTAAGTTAAAAAAAAAAAAAAAAAAAAAAAAAAAAACAAAACAAAACAAAACAAAAAAGAAAAGAACATTTTCATAAAACAACTTACAAAAATTGCCTTTTTTTTTTAACGAGTTCTTGAAAATTATTCTAAAAAAGTTAAACTAAACAAATCCGGCAATTCCAAGTAATTAAACCGTCCTACACGTGTCGCTTAATTAGTATATAACTTGCATATCTTTTTTTGATAAATACATAAAAAAATTCAGTAAATAAAAATATAAAATTAAGGTAATATGATGACGATGAAATTTGTCCCTCGAGGGATTGGCTCAAGTGGTAAGGTCTAAAGTATCCCTGATGCCTGACGAACTATTAGGTTTGAGATTCGATTCTCACTGAGCGTAAAATATTATCTCGGGGTCATGCCTCATGGCCATACTCTACGACTTACCCGGCATGAGGTGGGGATGCACCCTTCATGTATCACTGGGGCTTAGTTAAGTTGAAGTTTCGGATAATAGGGGTGGGACTTGGGCGGGCGAGGTGGGGTGGAGTAAAGGGTTAGCCCACGCCAAACTCAAGGTTCTAATACTGTAAACCACACCAAACCCAAGGTTCTAAAATCATAGCCCGTGCTATGTCCAAATCCTGAGAAACTCATCGTGTCTCAGCCCGTGTCGTACTGCACCAATTTCATGAGTTTTTCGGGTCATTCCAAAATTTAATAACCTACTATCAAATAAACATTAAAAGAAAATAAAATGTTATGTTTACCTGCCTAGATCATCCAAATGTGTGACAAAAATTAACCGAACTATGTGTAATATGAATCCATGATTGATGATACTATAAATAATTTAATTTTAAATATAAAAGTTATAAACTATTTTTATATTTCGGGGTCTTCGGGTCAAGTCCAAAATAAATTCGGGATCTAAAGTTTAAATCCAATCCCGTCCTACGGTCTCAAGTTCCTTAATCCCATAAAATTTTTGGGCAAAAATTAGGTTGCTCGAGTTAGTCCCATCCCTACCAAATGCACCAGGTTAATCTGAAAAAATAAATAAATAAATAAATAAAAATAAAAAAAATCCGCAACATTGATCATGGGAAATATCCTAGGGGCCTTAAAAATGGCATGAAGTCCACAGAAAAATATAAAATAAAAACAAGGCCCACAACCCTAACACACACCAACTAACTTACCTGAGACTTGAAAATAGCTGGCTCATCAACAAGAAAAGAAGTTAAACAAGTAACAAAACTAGGGTTGATTGATGGAAAAGATCGAAGAGATTCTTCTTCAGCGGATCAGAGAGAGATTTTGGCAAGTTCTCGTGTTTGCAATGGATTCAACAAAAGGGCATTTGGTTCTTCTTGCAGAGAAGAGGCGTAATCTAATGATGTCAACGGTGGAGTTTAGAGTTTTCAAATGAGGAGATGCTATATTTAAGGCGTAATTTTTGGTTCGAAAAGTAACTTGAATATTTAAGATTGAACCACGGGATGAAAATCATGCTCTAATTTAACATTGTTCGCTTGAACAATGTTATTGATGAACTATAGTGTCCTAGGTTTTTTTTCAGAATTTTTGTTACTTATTTTATTTATTTATCCGTACATCGTTTTGCACGCCATGTGGTCCCGGTATTGTTTTCCATTAGCATGTATTTATTATTTTATGTGATGATGTGTTATATATATATATGAATACAAATGTATGTGTTTGTGTGGCATGTGGGTGGAGTAAGATATTTTTGTGGCATGGAAGTGGTTTTAATGAAGTTAGAGGTTAATTTGGACATTTGGTGTAGTTAGTGGAGGGAATTATTGACCATTGACCTTGGAAGGCATTAGAAGTGTTTCGGGTCACACAATTTCATCATTTTTTCTCTCTCTCTCTTTCTCAGCCACATCTCTCTCTTTCTTCCTCTTTCTTTCTCTCTCTAAATTTCTTTATTCTCTCTAAGATTCCTTATGTTTGGATTGGATTTGGCCCAAGCCATAGTTAGCAAATGTGGAGAGCTAGTCAAGGGCTACGTTTTGATACCAGTCTTGCATGCATTTAGTGGATTTCGATCTTGTGATCTAGGAACTTGGGTGGCATTATTTGAGCTGGGGGTGTTTAATGCATTATGTTTTGCCTTTATTTGAGTTTTTCCTTACTTGATTCCATGCCATATTTGTCTTAAATGACGATTATTAGAAGTTGAAGTGATATATATGTTCTTGATAAAAATGTTATGTTTATGCATGTTGGATGTATATTTAAAATGCTAGAATTGTTAAAAGCATGTTATATGTGCTAGTTGCTACTTTGAGCTTAATTGATACAATGTGATGATGTGATCCCTTTGATGTAAAGCATGCATATTTGAGTTTAGAAGGTATGAATCATGTTCGGTTATTCTTGAATAATGCATGAATTCACTTCATGGCATGAGAATGGTTTTGGGGAAAATGAGGTCAAAGTGATTTTAAAAGGATGTGTTTGGGAAGGGTTGTGAGAAAATGGTTTTGTGAAATAAACCGGATTTCGCGAGTCCGGGGCTAATACAACCTAAAGGGAGTGCGTGCCAGAATTGGACGTGTAGCATTGATTACGAGGCCCTTGCCGAGTTTGGAGTTAGGGATAGCTATTCAATCTCGCCTCCGTAAAGTCAGGTTAGCGATTTTCGGTGTGTGTTGAGTTGGGCAAGATTGGGGCCGGGAAAGCATGACATTTCATTGCATGGTGGTGTACTTGTGTTAATTATGACTTATTAACATTCCTATGTATGATCCTGATCTCTTTTATCTATTCTTTATATGTCGACTCAAGGGAACCCAAAGCCAATGCTTTAGGCATATCCTACTGAGCCGTTGTGCGCACCCCTCACTTATCATTTTCTGGACATGGCAAGGAAATTGTAGAAGATGCACACCCGCAAGCTTAAGAGTCATTGATGTATTTTGATATCTTTTGTAATAGAATTGCTTAGGCAATGAACAAATGTACATAACCTTATTCTTTTGTGAACTTCAAATGAAGCCTTTGTAATCATGACTATGGAGACCTCATTATTTTATAAACTTATTCTTTTGGACATGTATGAATGTTTTAAGATGATTTTGATTCACAAAAGAAGTGTGAATAATGTTATTTTGATGAATTAAATACTCGTTTTGGTGTTTAAATGTGTTTGATGTTGGGTTAAATGATGTTTATGGATTTAGACTTCATGTTTATGCACTTTGGATTGCATCTGTTCGAGTTAGAGAAGTGATCTACTCGATCACTTCACTTATGGGTTTCTCCCTTCTAACCGGTTAGATGGGGTCTTCTAACCGGTTAGATTAGATCTAGGTGTTCATCTACTTGGTTAGATTTTTCTATCTACCCCATTAAATAAATAAGGCAAAGAAGGGGTTTGATGAATTCCTTCATTTTACCGGTTAGATAGAGTTATCTACCTAGTTAGATGGCCTTCAAACCGGTTAGATACCTCTATCTACCCGATTAGATGAGATCTACAGTTCACAGCCCTACTAGACCATTCATCTACTCGGTTAGAAGAAATCTTCTACTCGGTTATATGAACTGATATTCGCACATTGACCCCATATTTCAGTAAAATCACTCAATCACCCCTGGACTTCACCCTAATCATTAAATAACCTTGGCAATTGACTATTTTGCCCTTTTTGGGTCTCCAACTAGGATTGACCATGCTAAATGACTGGAATACCCTCATGAACCCTAGAACCTCTATTATTGCACCGAATGACCAGTTTAACCTTGTTAGGGCCTCAGCGTACCCAATTAATGTGAAAATGATAGTTTTATCCTTAATGAGTTGTGAAGTCATAATAATGTACCAAATGACTATTTTACCCTTATGAGCCCTAAACCATTAATTAACCACGGTAAATGACTGTTATACCCTTGTAGATTGTAGAACTATTATAATGACGTGAAATGACCATAGTACCCTTGTGTGACCTTGGGTTCGGGCAAGGACCCAATTAACGATCTGGATCCCCAGGTTTGGATCGTTACATGAAGCCCCCACATAAATAAACAATCAATGGGTCATTAGCCTAATGGTATTAATCTCCTCTCTCTCAAAGGGGAGGCGAGAGGTTCAAGCTCTAGTGGGCAATTTGTAAAATGTGAATAGATAAACAAATGCTATCATAAAAGAATAAGTAATTTGAGTCTATAGTTTTAAAGCAATAATATACTTACTCCAAACCACAAAGGCATACAATTATTTACTTTACCCTTCAAAAAAAAAAAAAAAAAAAAAAAAAAAAAAAAAAAAAAAGCATAAACAGGATTTAATCTTCTGGATGGCATTTTTATTTGGTATGAGACCAACAATTTACTTGAGCAGATTGCTTACAAAAACTGCAAAATATAGAATCTGATACAATAAACTTTTTAACAGTTTTTACAAAGAAGTGGAATATTAGATAGTCTAAGGCCCCAGCAAGAATTAAAAATAATAGAAGTCTTCTTTCAATTTATTTCTAGATCTTAAGCCAGTATGCAAAAATTCTTAATCCTTTGTCTCTATGTAATCTTGATTATTTGTGCAAAAATAAAATTTTCATTTTAGATAACAAAATAAAATAGGACATTGTTAACATCAATAGATTGGTCTTTTTAGTCCTCCTCTCTGTCTCTCGATATTGAATTGTGTTCTTAAAATGAAAAGTAAAAGACACCAATCAAACTTCTTATTTTCTAGATATGTGGTAATAATTAGTAAGTTTGACAAAAAGATATATATGTGGGAGTTATTTTTTTTACTATCGTAAAGATAAATTGAGAATTGTTAATTTAAGAAAAATACACGATAAATTTATAAATCTAGATTCATAGGAAAACATCTAAACTTTACTCACACTTCATGTAATGTCTAGTATCATCTGACATGGCTTAATCAATCATGATAAAAAATGAATTATAGTGAAAAATATAGGGTGAGGGGTGATCCGAACACGGACATACCATGCTTTATCAATTAGGCCATTGAATAATACCCACATGTGATAAATAAATAATAGTAATTACAAATAATATATATATATATATATATATATATATATTAAAAATGGGTAATTGCTTAGTGGACTGATAAAATGGTTGGATTATCAAAAGTGAGAAGGCAGTTCCTAATTTTAAGAAAACGACTTTGTTCAAGTAATACTAAATTTTAGGTTTATATTTGGTTGAATTATGTCTTCTTAAGCAAAAATTTTTACTCTCATATCTTGTAAAATTAAATGTCAATCTTACAAAAGTGTAGATAGATTGGAGGGAGTGATGGTAAAAAACTAAATAAGGTATAAGCTATAATACTTGTTTTAATGTTTTTCCCCGAATGCCACTTATTTCCTTCTCCTTAGAAAGAGTCATTAATACAAGATTCGTACTGATACAACAGGCACTAAAGTGCAGAATCTGTCCTACTATCAAAATAGAGTGCGCGAAAATATAAGTCTGCTTGGTTAGATGTATGCATGTTCTAACACGAAAAAGAATCTGTCTTATTCTTAAAGGAATGTAATATCCGCACTTCAACTGCGCTTTAGGTTTGAAGGAAAATGCATTTATGCTGTGTTGAAAGTCATAAATAACAAGTGTATTTTGAAAGTTCACTTTTCATGTTACGTTGAATTAGAGAAATGTAATTACATTGAGAACCACCATTCAGAATTATTTTATGTCCAAAATGCCTCCAAGCTGGTTTTATTCTCTCTTGAAGCAAATGAACTCACTTGTATACGTTGGAGCTTTGAAGCTTACCTAATTATTAGAGAAGGGAGAAAGGGCTTTTCCAGGTTGCCCTTTTTAATGAATAGGGCCAACTAACTACGACGTATGTCATCTTTCAACTCTCGGGTGAGGGAGTGGTACGAGAAACCACTATGTTTTGATAGGAAGATCCTTATTTTCAAAGTTACAAATTAAGAAGACTTATTTCTCTAATACAACCTAGGTCAAAAAGAAAATTTTCAAAATACACTTTTTTATTTATGGCTCCCAACTCAGCATAAATGCATTTTCCTTCCAAACTAAAGTGCATGTGAAGTGCAAATATTACATCCCTTTCAAAAGAAGGCGGATTATCATAGAGCATGCATACATTTAACCAACCATTGTTAATCACGTTTGATCTGGAGAGGACAGACCTAGTTATACACATTGCCTATTCTCTGGTACACTCCCATCAGAATGAATGTATAAATTATCAACTCACTTCAGATTACTTTTCCACTGTCCACATAACCACTAAAGTATTAACAGTACTATGACTTAACCGGATATGAAAGCACCCAGAGCATAACCTTGGGGAGTTCACACACACACACATACATATATCCTTCCTATAGAATCTCAGATCTGGATATAGAAAGATAGAATATTGGAGTAATCAAGAACAAGCTGGAGATAAGCTTGGGCGTGTGTGGAGGGGAGAAATAACTGGATTAGAGAAAAATTTAGCTCAACATAAAATTTCGATTACATTATTGGCCCTTTTTGGTACCAAAAGCAATATAATTTACACCAACATCATCAGAGAGGGCCCATCCTCCAGTCAAGGGGTTGTACACAATTCCAGCCATCTCTTGGACCTGGACAAACCCAATCAGATAGCAAACAACTTCATTGTAAAATTCGGATTTTACTAATGCTCAAAGGAGCACAGATTAGTCTAACCAAAGTATGTATTTTGCTTACAGTTATGGAAGCACGCTGTAGGATCAAGACTAGTTCTTCAGGAGTAAGAAAGCTCGACCACTGATGTGTACCTTTAGGGAGCTGCAGAGTACCAAAAATATTATGTGCACAACTACAGAAAAACATTAAAGCATGCAGAGTTCAAGGACAAAATTATGCAGCAGTTTTAAAAATTACAAAATCTTGCTAAACAAAAGAGTGACACTCAACATCAACAAGCGTAGCAGCAATGGTTACAACAAAATAATTTCCCAACAAAACTGTAAGATCACTTACTATTACAAAAATGCTTTACTAATAACTCCAAGGCAGGCAGGAAAATCCTCGTATGCATACTGTTGGAGAATATTATTATAGAAACCCTTAATTTACTCCTTGACAGAATATTGCTGTGAGAATCTCATAGGAGTGATTTTAGCCTATGATAGAACATGGGATTGATTGGAGTAATATATGGGATTGATTTTAAGAATCCTCCATCAATGTATTTTCCATATTTATCACTTGTATCCTTTCACCTATAAATAGAGGTGATCATTGTATCCAAAGATCAAGAGAGAATATAATAAAGGTGATGTAGCCCTTTGGGCTTTGTGTGTCTTTTCCTTGTGTTCTTCATGTTTAATTTCTCTCTTTCTTTTATATCTTTCAACATGGTATCAGAGCAGGTTTATCATACCCTACTCTATACTCTACTCGTCTCGGATCTACGGATCAACTCGTCTCAAATCTCTGCATCAATTCGTCTCGGATATGCTCATCTCATACTCTCGACAATTTCGTATTTAGTTTCAAGTTGGACACTTGCACTTTCAAAACCCTTAATTTACTCCTTGACAGAATATTGTTGTCAGAATATCATAGGAGTGATTTTAACCTATGAAAGAATATGGGATTGATTGGAGTAATATATGGGATTGATTTTAAGAATCCTCCACCATATTTATCACTTGTATCCTTTCACCTATAAATAGAGGTGATCATTGTATACAAAGAGCAAGAGAGAATGTAATAAAGGTGATGTGGCGCTTTGGGCTTTGTGTGTCTTTCCTTGTGTTCTTCATTTTTTAATTTCTCTCTTCAACTTTTATATCTTTCAACACATACTAATATGCCTAGAAGAACATGGATTAATTGTTTTTATGTAAAATGAATCTGAAACATCAGGAAAACTGGTTTTTGAGGCTAAAATAAATTTTTTACTATGTTTCCATATCACTTTATCCATTTGAAACAGTTTCTTATTAAGTTTTCATTCATCCAAATTTTGTTTTCGATTCAGTAATGTTTCCAAACGTACATATATAAAATTTTAGAGCTGCATTTTTCATCTTTGTGTCAATTTACCAAACCTTTGATTTGGTCACATTAAAAGCTATTCCAGTAGAATCTAGGTAACTAGAATTTGGAACTCATTAATGCTTCATGCCTTACTACGATCCATCTAGAGTGCCTTTCAAGTATAATGCACTTTTCTCTTTCTTTATTGACTCTTTTCATACCACTTCCTCCGACCCTGCCTTTGACAATGAATAGTGGGCCTTCCGGTCGGCACACCGTGGATGAAAAAATAAAAATGAAAAATAGTAAAAAAAGATATGATAGCATGTGGATTGACTAAGGGTATGGTCTATATAGAGCGGAATGGAGACACTGGATTCATGTAGCCAACCCCATGTAATTGGGAAAAGGCTTGGTGGTTGTTGTAGTACCCAGAATAAAAAATAAAAATAAAAATAAAAATCTCTATGAAAATAACAGTGCTCTAAAACAGAAACACCTTATTGTCATGCGGGATTCAAAAGTAACTGCCCACTTACGCACAACACATCCCAAATTCACAAGACATTTCTTTAAACTTTCATCACAAGTTTATAGATATACAAAGTTTAAGTGTTGGGATACACTCGGATGAATCTCCAATTCTCCCCATCAAATAGGATTAATATTTATTTCGTTCAAGTTGTTAATTTTATAATAAATTTATTTTAATTATGAAATTTTCAATAAGTTCTTTAAAAGTTACAATACATTGTGTCCTCAAACTCCTATTTTTATTATTATTATTTTCAATCCAAAAGTGAATTCTTTATTTAACGCATTATGTTTACTCATAGTTTCGCCTGAATCTAATATTACCATTTTGATCTATAATTCTCTTAATCTTGCATCATAAGACTTTACTACTAGTACGAGAGAAAATGGAAAGATACCTAAGGGAGACTATGGTGTAGCCTTCCTACCATTGTGCTTCACAGTATAAACATACACATACAAGAATACCAACTGGAGTTTGATGCATGAAAAACATGTTCGTAATTTGAGGAACATGCATTTGAAGACATTTATTATTTAAGAGCTGTACAAATTTGATAAAGGTATCATTTAAGATCTAAATTATAAATAATCTCAAAAGAAGAAAATGAAAAGCACAGACACCAATTCAATACTAAGGTGGGAATTCTAATAACAAATACCTAATGTGCTTCAGAGGATATTAACAACAGATATAAGCAACAGAATGAAATAAATAATCATACCCAACGGAGGAGGTACTCTGCTGCGATGATGGCAGTTGCATACGATCTCATTGAACGATTTATGGTTGAAATCACAGTGGCTCCACTAGAAACAGTTAATGCTGCCAATGATTTGCAGAATTCAGCAGGATTTGCTACGTGCTCAATTACCTAAGAGAAATAAACAATTCAATGGATAACCAAATGAGTATATGATTTGGAATTTCGTGTATATAACTTTCAGATGACCAGACATTGCCTATGTTTTTGGAGTCGTGATTGTGAGTCGGTTTATGCAGAAGCCAAGAGTAATGAATATACGAACAGGAAGCAAAAAGCAAACAGAGAATCAAGAAATTCTCTATAATATCAGTATATAATAGGCAAACTAATTTTCGAATCATAATACAGTACTTCCATACATATTCAATTCTGTAACTGATTTCTTAGAATTACTGAAGTCAGGTGTAGGTGCGAAAAATTGCAGACTAAGAATAGTCAACAAGATTTCGCAATCAATACACTTAGAAGAGTGAATAGAAGAGTGAATTGCTCAGAGGAGAATTGAACCTTATAATGGTGTGACCGAACCTAGGATCACCTAGATTGCCTATGTATCCCGATGACTTCATGAGGTGATCGGGAATCAGGTCGAAATGTAATTTTGGCAAGGGGGGTCATATTCCCTTTTCCAGGAGCCTTTGCCCTTATCTCTGTATATCTCTATTGGGGGCTTTTGCCCTTATTTTCAAAGGCATCTGCCCCTTCCTTGAGGGTCTCAACTCTTTTCTTCTTTTCTAAATTTTCCCTTCCAGACTTCTCCATGGCCATGCGGCCCACTTGTTTGGGCCTGGACTGTGTTTCTGGGCCGATCAGCCCGCTCCCCTAGTTTGGGCTAAACTCGTTAATCAACTATATGGGCTTTGATTCTGGACATCCATTGAATTGTTATTGACACTTCATTTGTACAGGTGTCGCGATTTGTGGGTATGTTCTGCCCCCACATCAGGAAAACTGAAAAAAGTAAATCATTTTATTTTTTTATTGGTATCTGGTACATTCAAGGCTTTTTGCAACTTGCGCAGAGCCGCAGAGTCTAACTGAAGCCAAAAAACCGAAATTGACTGGTCAAAATGTAACCTTTAACCAACCCAACCTGAGAATCAACCTAAGTTCACACTTAATTACAATAATTACATCCATACATATACATATATATACACACATATAGCTTTATTGTATAGGAAAACAATATAGGACGGTTATTACGCCAGCTGTATTATATGGAGCATAATGTCGAGCGTTGAAAAAGAAACAAGAACGTGTTCATGTAGCGGAAATGAGAATGCTATAATGGATGATAGGAGTGTGTACAAGAGATAAGATTAGTAATGAACGAGTGAAGGGAAATCAAGGATAGTGCCTATAAATGATAAAATTAGAGAATGTAGACTTTGGTGGTATGGTCATATACAACGCACATCTGAAGATGCATCGGGTAGAAGAGGAAGATTTGTTTGCCTAGAATGTAAATTATGTAAGTGTGAAGAAGCCAGCTAAAACTTACATGGGATGAAGTAATTAAAAATGTTTTTTATAAATTAAATATTAGAGGAGACGCCGTATATAATTGTAAGATTGGTAAAAGAGAGTTTGTGTGGCTGATTCCATTCATCTGGAGTAAAGGCAAGGATGATGATGATGACACATTGTAGCTTTAAGAATTCAAGTAGCATTGAAGGCAATTGTCAGTGCCCAACACATGTCCTCCCTGTGAGGGTTGCTGAGAAGAAAGGCTAGAGAGAGACCCGACCTTCACATTTTCGCACAAAGTGGTTGCTCTCAGACTCTGAATACGCATCCACACTTTTAGCTTTTACTATTTCACCAGAAAATAAGCCCTAAGATGAGATTTGTGATCTTTAAGATTAAAAAGAGATCAAGGTTCTGGCAATGAAATTATTATGTAGATTCACAATCTTATAGAATGATTCTCTGTTGAGATAATCATACCCAGTAGAATAAGACTGATGCAGGACGTCACTTGGATTTTGAAATAATGATCTCTACAGTATTTATTTGATGGGCTAAGAGTTGGAAGTGTTTAAGTTATGAGTTCACAAAGACAGCAGTGGTGAGAAATTTGCTTCCCGGTTTTCTGGACTTGATTACTTCTATAACCAGAAGACAAACAAGCTTGATACTAAAGTCTTTAAAATGATAAAAATATATCTAGTATGCTAAAGCTCAAGAAATTAATATATAATCATACAGAAAACAAACTAATAAACAAAGCACTCAAGCATAACACCATAGACCCTTTTCATAGAACAATAAGTATTCTTGAGTGGGATGGGGCACAAAAAAGGTTATGAAGATGATATATTTTCTCTAACCAAGCAATTCCAAACACATCAAATATTCTATGCCTCAAAATAAAATCCTAAAGAACATCTCATGCTAGATTAGCCAAATGAAACTCCCAACCCCACCCCACAATTGCCAAGTCGGCAGTTTAGTTGCAGCTTCTAAATGAGGATATGCCCATATGTAGTAGTGTAACCAATCGACAATAAATCAGACGTACTCCCTCTGTCCCAAAATAAATGACCATCTTTGAAAGTCCATTTTTTTGAGGGGACAAGCATTTAACGCATTGTTCCCTTGTAAAATTCCAAAATCATTTTTAACGAATTTTCAACGTTGAGGATATTTTCAGAATTATGCAATCTTTTTAGATTGAGGGACAAGAATTTTGGGACAACCCACGGTAGAAAGATGGACAGGACGGAGGAAGCAACTAGCAATGTTACAATTACCTTAAGGGTAAATTACAGATACCACCCCCCAGGTTTTCATTTCGTACATTGAGGTAGAATGTGGCACGATATATTGGTCAAACCACCTTGTAGTTTCATTGACTAACACATATGGAGTAATGTGTCAAATCAGTGTAGGGGTAAAAACAATTTGGACAAAAATAACCTTATTATTGTGAGAAGACCAAATTGTCCATTATGTGAACTGAAATTACATCATTAGTCGGACAAAAGTACCCTTCTCCTAATTGATGAATCACATGACCTGATGACCCACTTCCTCGCTTGGATTTCGTACTCTCTCTTTAGTTTATCTCTCTAACAATAATGGAGTCGCGAGTCCTTTCCGTCGCCAACACAATCTCTGGCATCCCCTGCCTTAGAAAGCCAATGAGGCTGAGCATCAATTGTTTCGCCGCCGCTAGACCCATCAAAGCCGTTAACCGTCGGCAGGAGCAGGAACATCAAATGGGGAAGGAAGCTCTGACCAGTTATACTCCTCGAGAACATTACGACAACAAAGCGCGAGATTCTCAGGCCCATTTTTGCCACCGTCAAGGCGTTGATTTTGCAAGGGGAGGTCCGTTTCCGCTGTTCAATTCAGTTAGTCTGACCATTTCAGTGACCATGCTGATCCGTTTTGTATTATGCCCTAACCCTATTTTTTTGCATAGATGTTACAGTCGCTTCAATCGAGGTTTTCAACAGGTACTCGGCTCTTGTCACCGGTTTAAAAATAGTCCAGTGTTTTCGCCATTGGTTTTTGCACAAATAATTTCTCTGTTTAGACGAAATCAAACAGAAGATAAGAGAAGACCAAGAGACTCAAATTCTTCTAGAGACTCATACTAATAAGTGAGAATTTTTTTTTTTCCAAAGTGGGGTTAGAAAAGAGAAGGCGTACATAAGCTTCTGTTCCCACCAACCAAAAATGGAGTTGTATTTACTGGCAGATGGCGTTATCTATTAGGAGGGGCAAAATCGTAACTTACTAATACCAAATCCCTTCTAAATTTTTCCTTTAAAGAAGCCCTATAAGCTTAAGGTCATATAGGTAAATTCATGCTGATCCACCTAGGTCAAATGATCCACTAGGACCTTCTTGTTATATCGTGCCACATTCTATCTTAATGCACAAGATGAAAACCTCATGGTAGTTTCTGTAATTTACCCTTACCTTAATTACTATTAAGGCAATTTAGTGCAAAAAGTCATGTCATGAATAAAATAAAATATATGTATAATAGATATACTTCCATTACTAATTTCATTAAACCATTTTTTTGAGGCTTGACATTACTGAGCAATTTAAATCTCATTATCACCTAATGAAAATATTCTATTAATTTAATTTACTAATATCAGGTCAAGACTAAAACTCAAATCTGATCTTTCCAAACACTATGACTAACCTCTAAGCAGCTCAACTGTCTGGACACAACTGTCAGAGGTCATAGACCACAGTCACCATACTCATCAACCAATACCATCTCTAGTGAGTAAACAATCTCTCTAAAGTCCATAGCATAGAACGACCACACAATCCTCCTTGCACCTGGTCCTCCTTGTGCTTGGGTGAGTACATAACTCATTAGATAAATGTAGAGGAGATACAAAACCTCAACTAAACATATACCTCAGTGATAGTAGAGAGATAAGTCTGGAGGAGATACAAAACCTCACCTAAACACATACCTCAGTAATAGTAGAGATATATAAACTCATCTAAAGCACATACATCAGTGGCTGAAGAGATACAAAACCTTACCCACAAGATACTTACCCTGTACCACTGCTTGAGCTTGCTCAACTCGAATGATTGGCAAACCAAACCATACCTGGACTAGCACATAACATGTCCAGGATCCATATGACTTGACCAGCCAAACAACCACCAAACATCAAACCACAAGTCAAACTTTGTTCACCCTTAATTGTCCTATAACTTACCTTGATTGCAAAATTATGACTTATAGACACAACTAGGGAGAATGCTACACCTAAAACCCTCTATGAGTATGAGAATATCACTACCTTATTATTTATAATTAATTCAAACTCTTAGGATTTTAATTGTCACTTTTCTAATTAATTTCCCAATTAATTAACCTAGATCCCTACTAAAATTAAGTGTCCAAATTTAATCAAGTCAATAAGGTGAACTTTAAATAATTAATTTTATAAAAAAAAAAAAATTAGTGAATTTCTCAATTTTCCCTTTTTTTTGTAATTTCATCAATAATATATATATATATATATATATATATATATATATATATATTTAGAATGGACCCCGAAATGGGCCCAAAATGTTGGGTTTGGAGATTGGAGTCAGTAGACCTAAATAAGCCCGAGCAGACCCGAGATGGGCTTGGGGTGGACCATACACTTTCCCACGCGAATTGCAAGTCAGTGGGCATGCACTATCCAGCATTATCACTTTCCACCTTGTTTCTCTTTCCCAGAACAACCAGCAAGAACTCCCGTTCGAACCAATGCTCTCAGCCCCTAAATCTGAACTTGCACATGTGTTATCTATCACGTATCATAGGGCTTTAATTACCCATAATCAAAGAATCTAATTGTTAAAAAAACACTTGGAATTTCATTCCCTATATTCATCAAACTAAGTTGTAAAAATAAGTAGGATTTACCATTCAGTCCACTCGACTTCACTTGATTTCTGACACACACACACACATATATAAATAAATCTAAGCAATTAAACAGAGCAGAATCATTACTTGACATCATTCTTATATAATATTATATTTAGTTCAACGTTTTTACCATTATGATTTAAAGGATTCAACATGCATGCAGACCTAGAATTTCCTGAAGTTTCATATATGAATATATATATATATATATATATATATATATATATATATATATATATATGTATGTATTAGCACTGTACAAGCATGCATATGCACAAGCAATAGACATATCATTCATGTATAGTAGTTTAGAAAACATAGAAAAAATTTCGATATGTCAGTTCTACTTTGAAGTTTGAACCTGAAGAGGAAGGTTGTATAATTTGATCCAAGATGGTAACTTTGGTTGTAACACTTCAATAATATAACTTTGAAGTTCACCCACAAAACTTCTTGTAGACTTTCAATTGGATTCAAATTAATTAGGACTCTTACCTTATTTGTATCAGAGGATGAGCTTGATTTTCCTAATTAAAATACAATTCCTTCATGATATCTTCAATATACTCTACCTGAAAATACAAGTTTTTTGCATTGTTCCAGATAGGAAATACACTCGAGATTCAGAAAAGATACATATGGAACTTTCTTGCAAACACTGAAATACTAAATCTTGCATACACAATTTATGCGCCTTTGTGAGTGAAAATTTCTTTTGAACATACACGAGCACGTAGAATGTGAGTTTATTCATGGTTCTACTAGACTGATCAAGGATTTATTGTAACTGTGAAGTACCAGAGATCCATAGTACTCTATCAAAACACTGTAAAACCTTGCTCAGTTGAGTGTGGGAAAAGATCACTGAAAAAGGGAAAGTTGCTAAGAAAGTGATAACATTAAAGTGATAACAGTGGAGTGGTAGTTTGAAGGCACTAGAATAAGGACTACTAGGTAACACTGTATGTCAAAGGTAAATCAACGACGAGTGACTCTAGGGATAGAATGTAGACCCATGAAAATGTTGTGTTCGTGCTTGCTATGGATATAATGTCGACTATTGGAAAGTTGTGCTTTTGCTTGTTCTTAGTGGATCTGTTTACCTGAGATGAAAGTATCCATGGCTTTTCCCATTTGGGTCTTCCAGATAAAAGATCTGTTGCTGCTTACTTTATTGCTTTACTTGCTTGAATTTGTGCTGGAGTAAGATTAAATCTGGCATCTGAATAAGTTGAAAGTTGAAAGACCTATTCATCCCTTTACATTTATTATCAGATTGTAAATTGATAACTGAGTTCCGTTTGCACCTCTCATAATGAGGACATGCCATATCTAATTAATCCATAGTTTACATAAATGCAAAATACCTCTCCAACTTGTTCGTTATAATTTCTTATATAAGAGAATGTTAGTAGTAATAGTAGTAATAGATATAACATGAGAAACAATAATATGTTGAATTAATACTATTAAACATATATATTTTAATTTTATATATATATATATATATATATATATATATATATATATATATATATCTGCCTAAATACAATCTACACCTATATATTGTCATGTCCTCACCCTATCTATATGATATTTCTTACAGATATGACGTATCATTGTGTTTGCACAATGTTTATAAAATCCTATTAAAATAGAGGTGTGGAAATGAGTGTGGAATCTAGAAACTGTTACTCATAGATACCACACAAAATGTGCAATAATATCAGCATACCTCTGAAGCAATCACGGCATCAAACTCTCTCTGTTCTTCAACTAGTTTTTCTGCCAACGTAATTGCATACATGTGAGCTTCAGGATAATGAATTAAAGTTCGTAAAAGGTAAATGCAAAAACACAAAGATCAAGGATACATTGATATAAAAAACCAGAATCAAACATTCGGTAGTCCATGTTATTGGTATTTCCAAAGCAGTACAATAGTTTCCCAGTTTCAATTGCCAGAAACAGAAAGCACATACAAAAAATGATTAACTGAAACCTTGTACAAAGTTGACCGTCAGAATTACCAAAATCAAGTAAAGATGGGAAAGTCCCTACTCCCTCCCAAGGTTAGAGAAATCAAAGATTTTAATAATACACTGATACTAAGAAAAGTTTTGAATGTTTAATTAGTTTTCATAATATAATCAATTTTTTATTTTTTTTGAGAAGTAAGATTTTTATAAAAGGCGCTCAAAAGGGGAGCGCTCCCAAAGAAGACAACAGCCGACCAAACTCGACACTATAGCTTTAAGCTATCCACAAAATCCAAAAGACGATCCATTGAATTACAATCCCACCCACTTACCCAAAAGAATAAAGAAGTAAGAATATTGTATTTAATAGCCCAAATGGGAGACTCCTCTCCTTCAAAGTATCTCCTATTTCTTCCGCATCAGAAAAATGATTGCTATGCCAAAACCAATTGATAAGAATTAAGAACACTATATACAACAACAACAACCAAGCTGCCTTCTCCAAATTATTTGGGGTCAGCTACATGAATACTATGTTTCCATTCCGCTCTATTTAAGGCCATAGTCCCAGTCAATCCACATTCTATCATATCTTTCTTTACTAACTCTAACCATGTTAACTTTGGTCTTCCTCTTCCCCTAGTATTGCCCTCAATGTGGACTATGCCACTTTTCCAACCAGCGCACTTAAAGGTCTTCTTTGCACATGTCCAAACCAAGTTTTTTTTCTTTTTTGTTAAGTAAAAATCAATAAAAAGCGTTCAAACGAAGAACGCGTCCCATGTACAAAAACAAAACAGGAACCTATGGACCCAAAGAGTCCAAGAGATCAACAACATCGTCAGAAAAACAGTTTCTCCCCTTCGCCCAACTAAAAATGAAGCGAATGATATGAAATTTCAAAGTTGCCGTAGACGCCTCCATTCCTTCAAAGCATCTATTATTCCTCTCTTTCCATATGCACCACCATACGCAATGTGGAATGGTCTTCCAAGGCAAAGCGCAACCAGCAAAGTTGGAAAGACACAGAAACATGGATCGAACCTCGAATCCTCCATGGGAAGAGGGAACCTACAAAAGATCATCACCACCTATGCCACCTACCTCCTGTCAATACAACATATCCACAAGAGCACAAGCCTCATCCATCTCCCAATCTTGAAAAGAACGCCTAAAGCGCACATCCCACGTAATCCCACTGCTATCAAGCCGATAGCAATCTACTACAAAGGCATGTCTATCAGTAGCTATTCTAAAAAGCCTGGGAAAAGAGCAAGACAACGGCTAGTCTCCGCACCATAAATCCTCCCAAAACCGAACACATCTACCACCCCGAACTTTGAATCTGATATGAGAAGCGAAAACATCCCAGCCTTTCCGAATAAATTTCCACACGCCAACTCCTCCTGCGTTAGGGACTGGGCATGAAGACCACCCACCCCTCTCTTCCCCATACCGACATAAGACAATCCTCCTCCACGGGCGGTATCGTTCTCTACCAAATCTCCACAGCCACTTGCCTAGGAGAGCTCTATTAAAGGGGATCAGCCTCCGAAAGCCCAGTCCACCCAACTTAACGGGATTGCAAATATGCTCCCACTTGACGAGATGGTACTTGAACTCGTCGCCCCTTCCACCCCACAGGAAATCCCTTTGAATTTTTTCGATCCTTTCAGCAACAGAACATGGATAGGAAATAAGTGGGAAGGTTTGAAAGAGTGCTCTTAATAAGAGTGACCTTCCCACCTTTCGACAAATATTGCTTCTTCCACCCCGCCAAGGGCAAACCTAAATAATGAATAGGAAAAGAGCTCACCCCACACCCAAGAACTGTGGCTAAAGAGGAAATGCCCTGAACTGCCCCAACTGGGACAAGCACGCTCTTGCCAACATGAACTTTCAGCCCAGAAACTGCCTGAAAAACAGACAAGAATACACCTCAAATATCTCAATTGGGCCGCTTCAACATAAAAAATAAAAATAAATAAAAAAAATAACGAAGTGTCATCTGCGAACAACAGGTGAGATATCTCCATCTAATGAGTTGAATCTCTACCCACTCTGATGCCTTTGATAAAACCCAAATCCTCTACCCTCTTCATCAGTCTACTCAAACCCTCCATAACAATGAGAAAGAGAAAAGATGACAAAGGATCACCTTGTCTCAACCACCGAGAACTTCCAAAGAACCCATCAGGAGACCCATTCACAAGAACAGAGAACTTAACGAACGAGATACATGTCTCTATCCAAGTCCTCCATCTACTTCAAAAGCCCATTCCCTAAAGCAAATAGAGCACAAAACTCCAATTAACGTGATCATAGGCTTTTTCGATATCGAGCTTGCATAAGACTCCCGGGACACCGCTCCTCAACCTAAAATCCACACATTCACCGGCAATAAGAACGGAATCAAGGATCTACCGTCCCCCAACAAAGGCGTTTTGGGACTCCGAGATCACCCCATCCATAACATCCCTCAACCTGAGAGCAAGAACCTTAGCAATGAGCTTATAGATACAATTCACCAAGCTAATTGGCCTAAAGCCCTTAATATCAGTAGCGCCGCCCTTCTTAGGGATAAGGGCAATAAAGGAAGCATTTAACGACTTCTCGAAAACCCCGTGAGTATGAAACTCCTGAAAAGTACCCATAGCCTCCCTTCTAACCACCTCCCAGCTTTCCATCAGAAAGTGCATAGTAAACCCGTCAAGCCTCGATGCTTTGTCACCATTCCAACTCGACAAAGCCTTCAACACCTCCTCTTTGGTAAATGGGGCCTCAAGACCATCTCTCTCAATCTCAGAAATAACATCAAAATTAAGACCATTAAGCTTTGGTCTCCAGCCCAACGACTTAGTGTAAAGTCTCTGATAGAAAGAAACAATCCCCTTACGAACCTCATCCTCCCTGCACAGCTCCTGACCATTAACCTGGATTCGCTCAATGTGATTACTCCTTTTATGGGCATTTGCAAGCCTGTGGAACAATTTCGTATTACGATCCCCCTCTTTGAGCCATAAAGCCCTGGACTTCTGACGCCATGAAATCTCTTCCATTCAAACAATGTCGGCGAAATCCGCCTGGCAAGTTGCTCTCATAGAGTGCAAAGAGTCCCCCTCCCCACCCACCTCATCAAGGCGATCAATCTCAGAAATTTCAGCAAGGACTTTATTTTTCCTCCATTCAAGATTCCAAAACACCTCCTTATTCCACCTTTTCAATTCGGTTTTGAGGGCCCGTAGTTTCCGGGCTAACACAAAACTGGTGCACCCGTGGCCTCCTCCCACCATGACCGAACAAACCCTTGGAAGTTCTCTACCCGCAACCACTTATTCTCAAATCAAAATGGAGAATGCCGAGCGCTCAGACCCCCACAGTCCAGAACCAGTGGAGTATGATCTGAAGTAACCTTAACTAAAGCCGCCTGAACGACATCAAAAAATTTCTCTTCCCATTCCCCAAAAATCAAAATCCTATCCAGCCGTGAGAGAGTAGCAGACTCCCTGCCACTAGACTAGGTAAAAGCTGCCCCTTCCAGAGGCAAATCAATGAGAAAGTGACCATCAACAAACTCCAAAAACTGAAGCATCTCCGAAGACCACCTTCCCCCTGTAGATCTCTCTAACAGAGACCTAACAGAATTAAAGTCCCCACCCACACACCAAGGAAGAAACCACAATCCCTGAACATGGCTAAGCTCCTCCCAAAGGAAAGGCCTCTCACTATCATCAACCGGTCCATAGACCCCAGAAAAAACCCATCTGAAGTTGTCCTTCTCCATCTTGAATACGCAAGAAATAGAAAACCTCCCCCTCCAAGTGTCCATCATTGACAGCCATCGTTGATCCCACGTGACTAAAATACCACCAGAGGTCCCGGAGGCATTCAACGCCTCCCATTCAACGAACCTACCTCCCCATAGACTTCGAACCACCCCATCTGTCATCGATGCCATCTTAGTCTCTCGCAAACAGACAACATGGGCTCCCCACTTCCTCAAAGCAGCCTTCACCACCCTTCTTTTGTCTAGATTATTGAGACCTCGAACATTCCAGGAAATAATTCGTAGCTTCATTAGGAAACAGATAAAATCATCTCCCCTCCCCCCTTCCTCCCACTTCTAGTCCTTCCCCACTCCTTCACCACCCCTTCCTTCTCATCATAGTTAACATATGAAATGAGATTCTTGACCTCCTGCTCCCCTTTCCAAGACGGTAAAGTTCTCTTGGTTTTAGCCCCTTTCATACCCTTGTTGATTCCCTCAATCTCTCTCCCTTCCGCAATAGCTTGAAGGATAGATAGCGCCTGATCGCTTCTGCCCTCACAAGTGACACCCAACAATTCACAAGTGGCACCAATATTCTCTACCACCTATTCCTTGCCCAAATCAATAGTCATCTCTAAACTATCGGGTCACACTACGGCCAAAGGTTCCACCATTCCCACAACAGAGTGATCCGTCTCCATCTATAGAACTAATTCCTTAGAACAGTCCTATTGAAAGGAAGCCCAATCTTCGTTCTCCTCCCCCTCACTCTCCCTGCCGTTAACAAACATATCCATCTACGTATCTATAGCAGAATCACCTGGATCATGTGTCGCCTCTGCACCTTCGGAAGGCAAGCAATTGAGGCTTTTCAATGCGACAAAAAGCCGAAGCTCTTTAAGCAAAGCCACAGTAGACTCGTCAGTCAAACTGAAGTGGAGATCACGTCCCACACAGACCGTCACCCTATATGTACTTCCTTCGGTTCCAGACGGCTCCTTTACAACATTAGTCACTGCATCCCTCTGACTAGCACA